TAAGAAACTTCATACTGTCAGCACAGATCGCTAACTTTTAAGGCCACAGCTACCTCACTCGATAATCTTATTGTCTTGACACCCTTAGAGGTATCCACACAACTAAACTAGAAGGGCCTCAAAATGCATTAARAGRTTGAAAGTGAAAATTTCCCCTCATCAGAAACGCTTGCAATTAAACCAATGTGGTCAGCCATTAAACCAATGGAAGAACTCAAGACTCCTTCAGAATAAACGATTTTATGCATTTAGGAATTGTTTTTTAATGTCTCCTTAGAAATTATCACCAAATCATGATAAAAATCATCGTGTAAGTGCTATCCTTGCTTGCAGCTCGCAATTGACTAGTCCTTGGAAACACGTTTTGTTTAGTTTCTAACCTTTGTCACATACCACAGCTAGCCCAATCAAGACTAYTAAATTTCACGATCTTTTTTTTCGTATCAGTTATTTTACTTGCTTAAAAGTTTGACAATAGACTTCTTAACCGCCTCATACAAAACGAGGAGAGAAATTTGAAACAGTTATTAACACGAAAAATATWTATTTATTTGTAGCACATTTTTCAGTAGCTCCAGAAAATTACAAAATGAAGACGATTTGTCTGCTTTTTWTTATTGAATCTTTATTTATTTAATGTTAGTCCAATGACCTAACTGTTGGTAATCATATCAGGCTTTACCAATTGGTCAAGTATTAGTCAAAAATTAAGACATATTACTATTTAGTCACAGGAAACTGAAGTTGAAAGGGTTTTTCTTCTTGTTGTTCACGGCTTTCGTAGCCATCATTGGTTTATTAAACAGTACAAAAAACATGGCATGTCTTTTTTTTATTTCGTTCTGGCCAGCCAGTCATTAGCGTTACTACTATACCGTGTAAGAAAACTGCATACTCTATTTTCATTCCCCTCTCACCGTACAGCTGAGCGGTGGGCAGACAAAATGAGTTCAATTTCCATTTTGATCTGACAGTACATTCAGTATCAAACAGCGTGAGCAGCATTCTACTTGATTAGAAGTGCGAAGTCCCTTTTAATTATCTGTAGAAATTGTCTACAATGCAAGAGACTTAATATCCGAGCAGATGCAGGATCAAAACTAGAAGAGATAAGATATGACATGAAAACCTAATTATAAGAATAATAATCAGAGGAGAATTAAAAAGAAGCATTAACTCCAAAAGGAGTGACACCATGCCTAATGTCATAAAACTAAAGAAAATAGGCGATATATTCTCACATAATTCTCGTAACCAGATCCTTCTCGCCCAAAAAATCGAAGTCTCTGGTAATCATATATACAAAGCTTTTTTAATACAAACTGCAGCTCGATGATGCTCAGAAGAGGTGAGACTGTAACCGGT